GAATAAACAAACATCTTGGTTTGGAACTTGAAATTTTGAATTGGAGATTGATTTCAGAGAGGGTCCATAGCCTTAGTAAGATGTTCCCCGTAACCATGATAAGGGCTTGAAAGATAATTCATCAAATGGAGGGAGATTTGAAGGAACATTTAACATAAGCATCGAATGGAATATCATTAATTGTCGAAAAAAGTTTATATAGGGTTGAGGCCCTGAACAATGATGGCGCACCTAACAATTGACTAGAATAAGTTATTTTGATGTTGAAAGATTCTCAAATCCGATCATCTCAATCTTGATATATATAGATATAAAATAATTGGATTTTAAGTCTTAGAAATAGTGCATCATGTAATGCATTATCTAAACAATCAATTTTCAAGTGTTCATAGATATGTTTGATCTACACTATTTTTAAAGCTTTACATTTTATAATTAGATATAAAAATAAATTTTCAAATCTTCATAAAGATTTTTGATACTAAAACAAAATCTTTTGACGCTATTTGAAGGCGCGCCTTATTTTGATTGTTGAGGACCTCAACCTTATACGAACTATACCCCTTAATTGACATGTGTCCAAAAAATGCTTAGAATGGAATATATTAAATGTCCCGGATATTATCTGAGACCTGGTTTCTATGCGGCCAAGCGTGCATGTAGAAATACAGGCCTATTAATAAGTATATTTTTAAGATGGATTTTTTCACTTAATTTTTAAGGATTTGTAATCTCTAACATTGAGATCATGAATATGAAACAATAACTAAATTTTAAAAACTAAAAATAAAAATATTAGGAAGAAAACATTTGGACTTTTAGTTTTCATTGTTTTTAGATGGCACACCTACTTGCATCCATCATTAAGATGGATGTTTACACTTTTTGGACGGCATATGTAGTCATGCGGTCCAGCCCATATTAAACAATTTCCTATTATCTTACTAACATCAATTCATACAATTAAAGTTTTGTGAATTATAATGCCATTTCTTTGTTGGTACTCAACTGATAGATAGAAAATCGGGTAAGGGGTCGCGTTAATAATAATAAAGAGAAGCACCATAAGCCAAATAACTAAGACCATAATGTCATGCGTTCAAGCCGGTGGTTTAAAAATCGTCGATCCAATCTGGAATCGGGCGATCCGAATCGGGTATCGGTGATAAGATTCCAAATCCAATATCGATAAAACCGCACAATTATTCTACTTTTTTATTTTTCAATTCGGCATTCTTTTTTCTGCACCCTAATTTTTTTGAAATGTAATTGACAATTTTCTTCACACGTGCAATGCGTCCTCCTTCCTCCCTACACGTGATTGACAATCCTTCCTTCCTTCATGCCAGCTGGCACTTCACCTTCCTCCCTCTACATGTGATTGACGATCTTTCCTTCATGCCAGCTAGTGCTGCCGGCTTAAAAAGCTTCAGCGTGCAATACACTCACCAGGCCAAGACAACATTCATTGTCGCCAAATCGTTGGGTTCTTTCATACCATTCGTCTTCTCACATCGCTTCGATGCGATGTGGGATATATTTGTGAGTTGAAAAAAGGCGGGCAATATTATTAGCTTGGGAAAAATTGCAGTGAGATGGTGTATACCCGACGGTATATTCCCGTCATGAATAAGAAAGTTGTATGTCCGATTGTGGCAAAGAAATTTGACGATAAAAAAGAAAAAATAATTAAAAATAACAATTGGGTGCCCATCACCCCTATTTTTCACCAAAAAAATTTAAATTTACTTACCAAAAAAACATAAAAACTCTATTAAAGTATTATATCATGGCATTATTTCATTATATGAGTAATAATTAATTAATTAGTTAATTAAGATTAAAAAATTAGTACTAGCTCATAGGATAATAAAAATAATAATAATAATAATAATAATAATAATAATAATAATACCATTTCTAGTCTATTGGATATTAAAAAAAAAAAAATAGAGGATATTTTAAGATAGAAAAATAACACTAACTCATACCACTTTAGAATTTATTTCAAATTGTTTTATCAATTATCCCACATTGCAAATATATTTTTTTAATTTATTAATAACCAAATCTTTTCTATTATTTATTTATATTATAAATTTTATAATATATTATTCTTTCTTAAAATTGTAAATAAGATTTTTTAAATTAGATGATGTATAAGACATTTTATATTTTTATTTGCATAGTAAAATAATTATAAACTATAAAGTTATAAACTAACATCCTCAATTTCCATATATATTATTATAGTTAGTTAAGTTATAATAATTGTGGATAAGTAAAACAAATTAGTAAATGTTTGATACTTTGATGTGATACTAATTTATATGGAAATTAATTTTTTTAATCTTCTAATATGGAAGTATTTGTAACTAGTTACCTCACATTGCAAATATGAATTTATTTATTTATTTTTTAATTTTACTAAAATATTATTATAAATTTATATTTCTAAATTCTATATTTCTATCCAAACTAATTGTTATATATTAGATTTATTTATTTGTGAGGGTCATACCCTTGTTTTTTTAATCACGTTATTATAATATTGTAATTAATAATTATATTAATTACAATGATAACTAAATCATATATTTTATTTATTAATTTATTTATTTTAATTATACAGACATCCAAATAGAAAAAACATCTCAATAATTACCTTTTTACAAAGTAATGAAAATGCATAATGCACCACTCGTAAATTCATTTACAAATTAAAATAATATTATTTTTAGATATTTATAGTGATTTTTTAAAGATTTTTTGAGACAAAATTTACTGATTCTACCCGATTCTCGATCCGAAATGCCGATTCACCGGGCCGAATGGGTTTTTTAGGTGCCCGATCCGAAGCACCGATCCGTTTTTTAAACCAATTGTTGAAACTAAATATCACTATAGTATTAACAAAAAGCAAGCTTTCTATGTTTCCCCTACAACAAAAAACTTATATACTTCCCCTTATCCAACCATCCATTATGAATGGAGGGCTAAGATTGCCCCAATCACAATGTCACGTCTTTACACTAATTTATTTTATATAAACTACTTTGACACCAAATTTTTGACATCCAATCCTATATTAAGCTTGCACTAGCAAAAACTATAAAAAACAATATTTCCAATAAAATAAAATGACCAAAATACCCCTAAAAATTTCAAGGGTATTTTGGTCATTATATTTTATCAAAAATTTATTTTAAATATTTTTTATAGGTGCACCCCAATGAGAGGATGGCACGTACCAAATTTCATATTCATACAATTTGTATAAAAAAGACTAAAATTAAAATACTTTGCGACATCGAATCTAAGATCAAACGGTGAGTGGCTCTCTTGATCAAAATTGGACGGCAGGATGGTAGGGGAAGCATAGATCTTCTATGCTGCAAATGAAGTATAAAGACCTTTCCCATTAACAAATTAGACGATGTTCCAATCCAGACAAATAAAACTAGGTTTGTGTATAATGAGATCTTTTATCTTTATTACAAAGAAATCACAATCACTCCCACTCATTGGATGTCAAATTGAATAGCTTAAACTAGTCACAGAGTTCGAGAATTTTTTTTTTGAGTTATAAGCAGTGTTTAAAAAAATGCCGAGTCGAACCGGACTCGCCCGATTTGACTTGGGAATCGCCATGGACGGATCGAATCGACGAAAAAAACGGGAATCGTCCGGTTCTCTCTAGAACCGGACGATTCTGTACAGTGACTCGCCGATTCACTGTACGGAATCGACGAGTCCGTACAGTGAATCGACGAGTCCCGTACGGATTTTTATTTATTTATTTATTTATTTTTATTTTTTTTATGTAATCCATGATAGATTTTTTTGTAATACTTGATCGATTTTTTTGTAATCCATGATCGAATTTTTTTTTGTAATCCATGATAGAATTTTTTGAAAATTTGTGATTTTTTTTTTTTAATCCATGATCGATTTTTTTGAAAATTTGTTTTTTGTTTTTTTAATCCATATTATTCAAAGAGAAAATGAGAGAGATGATGATTCTGAAGCCACCCTATCCCAACCATATTATTCACATATCGAGTCCCAACAGCAACAGTGTAGGGATGAGCACGACAGTGCAGGTGAACATGAAGGATGGACAGTCTTCGGGGATTTTAGATTGGAAACACAACAAAATACTAACACTCAGAGATTTAAGAATAGTCAGACGCCTGCTAATATCGATGATTCGTTTTTAGATCGAATTAATGAATTGTTAAACGAATTCAATCAATGACACAAGCGTCACCAAGAAGAACAATAACGTCGTCATCATTTTATTTTTAGATTATATGTTACTAATTTTATGCTTTATTATAGTCCATGTATGTTGATATACTTATTCCATGAAAATTATATATTTATCCTTTTGTGTGATGTAAATTAAATGCTGAATGGCGGTTCATGCAAGGAAAGAACATATCAATATTCGCATATTCATTCAAAAACATGAAAATTCTTAATAGAATACCCTCATTTCTTATTGAATTCCTAAAAAACAATATTTATAATGAATTTTAATAATTTTTTCAGATTTTTTTTAAGCTTTATTCTGACCGATTCACCCGATTCCCGATTCGGATCGCCGATTCGCAGATCCGGATCGGTTTTTTGGAAGCCCGACCCGGGTCACCGATCCGTTTTTTAAACCATTGGTTATAAGCCTTTTCAGTAATACTATTGCAACCACCCATTTTGAAATCTAAAGGATAAGAGTGATTGTGACCTCCTTGTACATAAAGTAAATTATCTCTTGGTATACTTCTCCAAAAGATTAATACCTTCACCACGAGAGACATAAAAACCAAGAGAAAGTATAAAACTATTTATCTTTGGTATAAGGTGGTCACAATTGATCTTGTCCATTGGATGTAAAATTGGGTGGTTGCATTTATTTCATTGACCAAGCTCAAAGTTCAAAAGAAATTTTCTCGTACTTTGTTACACATCCAAGTAATCAGATTTCACATCAGATGGTTGCAACTAAATGTGGCCTTCCTATACAAAAGGTAAATGCTCTCATTGTATGCGATCCCAAAAGAACAAATGAATAAAAGAATAATGGAATTCAGTGGAGCAGCAGATATTGAGAGAAAATAAGACACTTTAAGAAAGCACCTGCATGCAAGCAGCAGTTTATAGAACCTTATGAAGCATAAAATGCACTCAGAAAGCATAAACAGGGCAGCACCCCATGCTGTGCCCATCATGCTTACTCCCTGATACATCAAATAAAAAACTTTAAAGTTCTTAGCCCATAATACAGTACCATGACTGATTTTTTTTTTTTCAACAGCTCATCACCATAGTAAAGAGAGTCCAGTAATAAATGTGCAACAACTTCAGTGTAAATGGGAACAAGCATGATGGTTCTCCTTAATCAAAGTGAGATTGTTTAGGATTGTGATCAATCTATGATACACAATTAAATCGAAGAGAGAGTGTTTAGGATTGTGATTAATCTATGATAGACAATTACAGAAATACCATGCACCATAGTGAAGGAATTCGTTTCATCTGTATGACTGAGTAGCAGTAGCCAGCTTGCATAGAGAAGCCCCAAACAAATTGATACTACAAGACCACAAGCGTGGTAGCTTCTGTTTGAGGACCCAAAAGCACAGAGACATGCTTTTACTTATGGAAATATATTCAGTGGATGCAGTGACGGTTACTATAGTACCTTCACATTACTCCTGCGGTCTGCATTTGACATCAATGGCTTAGGTGATGTGTACGTACTGTAGGAACTTTACTGCAATCCTTGTATAATCAAACACCATATATCAAGTTGTGGCGACAGAGAAGAGACAAATTGCGATTTTTTTTATTGTTTAATTTTTATGTTTTGGTGTGTGGGGTGTGTGAGCAGAGACAGCAAGCAAGTTTAGATACACGCTTGCACATAACAACACAGAAAATACATAAATTCATAAAAACATGTTATCAGAAACCCTTGTTTTCTGTTGCAATTTCTCGATTATTATATGATGATTTCTTAACTGTCCATATATAGATAGAAATAGAAATATCTAGAAATGACATCTCTTATGTCAATGACACCAAAGGGATATTCAATGAAAAAAATTGGGATATGGATGGAATATAATGAAATAGGGCCACTTTGAGGTTCCCTATATTCCTCATGGCTTGAGAACATGAGTTGGAACTCTATGAGATACATATGTATGATAAGACAAAATCTGGGTAACAGCTCATCCTATCTAACATCTAAATAAGAAAATTTTCCTCATGGCACTGGAGAATAGCTCAAAACCTTCACTCAGATACTCGTCTCTCAAGATGGGAACACAAACTATGGCTGTGGACAGCCCACAACTGAACAGACTAGAAATCTGCCCCAGTAATAGACTAGAACACAAACTATGGCTGTGGAACACAAACTAGATAGCATAAAGACCAGCAATAGACTAGAAATCTGCTCCAGTAAGGTAACAATTGGTGTGGTCCTCTAATTATGGCCTCACTCAATTAAAATGAATGTAAAAATATGACTAAAATATTTCCAATAGTAAATAAAATAAACCTACTAAAAATCTCATAACCAAATTATCAAAATCCTCATACCTGAGTAGGTTCCAACACAGACAGTCATCAGCACAGCATAGTTCAGCAAGGGACATACAAGCATATACCCAGTAGAAAGGTATGAAAGTACCCAGAGAAATTCAAGATGACTTAAAACCAAAGAAACAAGTAGCATGTATCCACTAGACTCTAGATCCCCCCAACAATAACCTCCAAACATAGACAACGCACATGTTTCACTCATCCCTAGGCCCTACACCAAACCTACACAAGCAGGAAAGTGTTAACACTGCAGGATATCCATCAAAAAGAAGAAAACAGAGCAAAGTTACCAAGTCCTTCTGATTGCCCCAACATCCACATATGAAGTCGCAAAACATAGCAAACAAGATCTATAAGACACATAGCAGCATACCAACAAACACAGGATCAAGGTCATAAGACCAAGAGCCTGTTGGCAGTACCTGATTTATAGTACTATGTGGAAACTGAACTGTGAAAGAAAAAAAGTATGCTTCTCACAATGAATATCAAGGAAGTTCTCATAATGAATACTAAGGAACAAGTTCTGTGAAGGGATCTAGAGCATAGAGTGCAAAGTCATCGGTAGTTTTGAGGTTGACTCTCCTGGAAGCTTGTTCTTGGATAAGAATGACCCACCTGGAAGTTTCAGAAAATAATAGATAGAATGAAATTTTAATAATATAAAAAAAAAATACTACAAAATTTATAATAATTATACATCACATTTAAGGAATAGCATTGTGAAGTATATAACTATAAATGATAAATGCTCCTTTCAATCCTTTGTACATTCCATATCCTATGCTAAACTCGTCATTAATGTAGTATATATTGTATCATTCAATGTAATCAATTATACCAATACCAAGTTCCTAGTACAAAAACTTCATAAAGTCATGCAGATGAACGTCAATTAATGAATCCAAAAGATTCAAGACAGTTGCACATGCCACATATTCGCCTCCCCCAACTGATCAACAAACATGCAGCTCCCATGCATAAAACAAATAGAAGTTCCAGACGATAAATTATAAACTCATGAATAATTATTTAAAAACAGACACATCAAACAGTGGCTTACAATCAATTGAAATTGAAAATGGTGAGCAAAAGTTTAAAGCCATTAGAAAGATCGAGGAAAATTTGCATGGGACACCAAATAAAAACTTAACCAAAAGTGCAAAGGAGACACTTTGCCCTTCAATGGTTTTAGAGAACAATTGAAGCAAATGAAACTATTGAAAAGTAGCGAAAAAAGAAAAAAAAAAAAAAAGTAAAAATTAAATAATGAGATTTAAGGAAATTAACATAAGATACCTTGGGTAAATGTAATGAACAAGAGGTGAAAGAGAGGAAAAAAAATTGTATAAGAGTATGAGAATTGAGCAATTGGAAAGGGAAATGCAGGACAAACATGGCTGCAACAAATTCAACAATCCAAGATTCTAAATGATGCAAGTTTGTGTGATGCATTTCTCGAGCTACATCGCTTGCACATCTTCCTTGCAACCATGCTTACACAACTCATGATCAATAGGCGGCCCCATCCAAAGCCTGGTCCACATGCTCCCCATGTAAGCACCGCATGAAGATCAGCACAAATCATATTAGAGGCTCATGAGGATAGAAATCCATACAGTAGGTTAAGAAAGTATATTTCTAAAATATGGATATGACTATGGGCTTTCTAATCAATGTGATTGTATCCTCACGTATGATTAAAGAGAACTAAGTTTGATGTTTGGTTCATATATTCTAATATTTCATTGTATCGTGATTGTATCCTCACATATGATGAAGAGAACTAAGTTTGATGTTTGCTTCATACATTCTAATATTTCATTGGATCATTAACTACCAGATTCCTTTCATTAAAAACATAATCAGAACACATAATCAGAACTGGTTCAAGTAGTGAGATCCCAAATTTTGCATAACCGCGGTCCCTTTCACAAATTCCCGACCACTATATGTCCTTCCCATGTGCCCTACTCCACAAGAAATTACTACAAAAAGAGACTTAAAGTTCAGCTATTTTAAATACTATTTAAAAAGGATTTAATGTACAGCTATTGATAAAATAATTTTGAAAATGAACGCTACAAGCAAAAGAAGAAACACATATGCAATGTTTGGCATGCTGGTAAATAAATCCCTATCAAGTTTTCTTTCAATATTTTACGCACCCTTGCCTTGACCCTTCCTCTAATACTAATGAGTGTCACATGGTTTGCAGATTGTACACTCCAATGAGTACTCCAGAATGCAGTTAATGGTTTGATCTCGAACAGAACAATTAAATAAAACATTTACTTCCCCTTCCTGTTAAAGCTGGAAAGAAAAGAAAATCAAGTATCTTCACACAAAGTACCAATGTAATCTTTGATTACTGTAGTTGTTGGGATAGATGCCTGTCAAGAGAAGAGCTGAGTATTGTGCAAGACATCAGTGATAACGCAGGCTGCATCACAATAACTCAGCATTAGAAAAAACAAGCATCATCAAGACAAAAGCATGCCATGAAATTTTAGGAGTGACTTAATTCTGAGTAAACTTAACCAAAAGATAAGTCAACCCCATGCTATCATTCTTTTATAAATGCCAAAGATATTCCATAATCAGTAGAATGGTATTTGTTGCTTGAACTAATTCATTATTGTCTTTGTTTATAAATTCATCTTGTTGATTATATTAAACCATCAAATTGTTGAGTATGGAACTGAGGAAAAAGAATTCAATCCATGTTAATCAGGAAAGACAAATTAATCGATTGGAGCATGTATTTAATATCCAAATTAATGATGTTCAATTATATATGGTATCTGCAACTGATTCTCCACAAAAGTGCATCTTCCATCTGATATTAGCAATTCAAAGTTTCAAGGGTGAAAATTATGATACAGTGAAAAATCTCATTCCAACTCCTATTCTGAAAACCAGATGGACAAGTGCCTTACATGACTCCGTATACCATGACAAACCATTTGCCAGAAATATTGCCACTCCTCGAGCAAATATGCCCTCAACGCAAATGAGGGCTAGGACCCTCCAAAGCCTCCATAGAAGGGGACCATTCACTTCTCTCCTTGGATTGCGCGAACCAGCAGTGTACAAACAAGCCCTAACCTATGGATTGCTCAGTCATTCACAAATCATATGGCTCGTTATGAGGGTGGCCACCTGTCTGGTAGAGCTCGAGCTGATACATAGCCTTAGGCAACAATTCCTTCAAAGACGGGTGTTGTGCTGCCACTGTCCGACTGGCAAGCTCGAATGCAGTCAGAGCCCTCGCTTGCCCCAACGCCTCACTCTTTGCTACATGAATTGCCAAGTAAGAGAGAAGAACTAGGCCATGCAATTGTGCCTTCTCATCGGCCTTGATTAGCCTGATCAAAATGGGCACCCCACCAAACTCGATTATGGTCTTCGAATGATCTACACACAGGAAGTTACAGGGCTCTGTAAACTTACCCAAGGCGATCGCAGCTTCCGTAGCCACATCCACATTGCGATGACCCAACTTATTCACAAGTGGGGTAATTACAAAGGTCTCTCTGGCTGAAAAGGTGCGTGCCAGTGACCCAATTGCTCGAATTGCAGGTATTTGCAGAGATTGGCTATTGTTGCACCGCTCTATGATTCTAAGCAACTGTTCAATCACCGCGCTTGCGGCAGGAGAATTGGTTCTAAAGGCTGTCCTCCTCAGATCAGGGACCCACTCTGCCACTGAAGTTACCTCCATCACAGCCATCAAGCAATTGTACTGCAAGTCACCTTGCTCCTTCTCAATGATCTTCGCCAATCGAAGGAGCCCTTTGGTCTCAATTATCCTCCGACTATTCGACTCACTGCCTTGAGCTAGCATCCATAATGCCCTGGCACACTGTACTGTGAGCTCAGCCCTCACTTCCGGACTCTCCTTCTCCCTCTCCTTGTGATGATGGAGCGCTAGAACTTCATCCTCACTTCGACAGCCATGGCTATAGGAAGCCCCTTGTAATTTGTTTACACGAATGCTCGACTGAACCACATTGTGGAGGTTATTGGGCCGAGGATGAGGCGGCAACAATGTCTTTGAGTCGTCAAGGGTCTCAGCTGCAAGCTGTGAGACAAGCGGCCGCACTGCATCCTCATGTGTGAAGTCCTCCCTCACCAAAAGATTGAGGGCTGCCATCTTCGCAACCAGCCTTGCCACCTCTGTCTGCACGCATGTTGGGGCATCCCACAGGAGCTGCACCATGAGAGGTACGGCACCATGAGCAGTGATGAAACTCACGCGCTCAAAATCCGATGTGAGGCTTACAAGTGCCTTTGCAGCGGCAACCTGGGCCTCAGGCATCGGCCCCTCCTTGAGTTGGCGGAGCAGCGGGGGAATGCCACCCTCCTCAATGATGAGTTGGCCATTGCGATTGGAGTCAGCAGCGAGCGATGCGAGGCCATTGGCGCCCTCAATCCTGTCCTCAGGAGTCCCGCCACTGTGCACAAGAGTGACATAGCTCCAAACCCATGATAATATTGGGTCAACACTTGCAATTGGAGGAAAACTCAGGGTGAGGCCAGAGGAGGAGGAGGAGGAGGAGGTATCAATGGCCCATTTGAGGTCGGCATAAGAGTTGTCCAGACGGGTTTGGACCTTGCGAAAATCAGCAACATTTGTGATGGTGAAGACACGCTTGAGGACGCCGCTGCGTCTGCATTTTTTGGTGAGGGTGAGGGCCCGGTCAAGGTTTTTGGTGGCCTCCTCAATGACTCGGCGGAGGGGGCGTTCGTAGAGGGGGGGACCACCGGCAGAGGTGAGGCGGGCAGCCTGGCGGAGCGCCTGGGCGAGGAGGTCAGCCCGCTTTGCAACCTCACCGCACTCCTGACGGTAGGACTCAGCTTCTTCAGAGAACTTCTTCACGAGCTCCGCCAGCTTGATGGGGAGAGCCAGAAGATCCTGGATGCTCTGTTGCTGCTGCTTGTCCTCCATGGCAAGCTGACCAGAAAACGAAACCCAAACTTTCGACTTTTCCTCCTCCTTCCTTCGGTTCTTGAAGGCAATTCAGGTCGTGGGAACCATCCAAAACCCTATCCTTATTATTATTCTTCAAGAGGAACTCGGGAACCATGCAAACCCCTAAATTTTCTTTAGAAAACTCCGACTAATGCTTCTTGTTCTATTATTCTTTGAATGCACCGATCCCACACTCTAATCTCTTATCCTTCTTGCGTTTATCCCGTACATTCTCCAGGGGATTTCAGACCTGAACCATCCAATTTCGCTTCAAACCACCCAAAAATCCTCACTTCTTACCCTTTTTCTTCCTTCTAGAAGGCCCTCCCAATGCCCTAACTTCCTCTCTGTATTCTCCATCAAAGAGATACCAATCCAAAATACCCCAAATCCTTCTGCCCTTTCCCACAGTAAGGAATGAACTCTTCAAAACCCTAATTTCTCATCTCCAGCAAATCCATTCCATGATATCTCATTAAACCCTAACTTCTCCACATTTTGGGTGATTAAAAGAGACTTTATGCGAGGAGAGTAGAGCACCTCTGCTTAGTTGTATGGCAGACAACAATACAAAGTGAATGGGTGAGTGATCGAACGTAACAGAAACGGTAGGAGAGAGGCGAGACGGAGAGGAGAATGTTTTGTTTCGATCACGTCACCAAATGCCACGGTGGAAGTTGCGATATTTTTAGGTTAAATGGTGGCGACTACTCATGGTCGGCCGGGGACTTCACTTTTTAAAAGGAAAAGAAAACCTAACACCACCCTAATCGAACTTTTTCTCCGACTTTTTTTTTCAGGAAGCAAATTTTTTATGCAAATACCTTCAACGTAAAAAGTTTAGACGTACATAAAAAAGTCATTTTGAACGGATTTCGCATTGATTTTTGGATTCAGTAGAACATTACCACTATCGCAACACCAAAGGGCCCAAGTGCCGGACTGCCTTAAAATAACTATCATACTAGAGCACCCAAGTGCAGGACCGCCCTAAAGCAATTGCCGTACCGAAATTGAGTACAGTTAAACCACCCTATCGGCCTTAGCACCGAAATTGAATACTGTCAGACCATCCTTTACATAATGCCGGCCGCCCTTTGCAACTGTCAAACTGCCATTTGGAAATGCTAGACCGCAATTTATACAGTGCTGGAGCCCCATTCACATAGTCTCGGAGCCCTCTATTTTGATGGAATAGATGAGAGAGAGGCGTGGGTAAAGTAAAAATAAGATATGGTAGTTTAGACCTTTTTTAAATTTTTTTGTTTGGTTGAAGGCTATTTGCATAGAAATTGAATTTTGGGGAAAAAAAGTTACATAAGTTTTTTTTGTAATTTTCCCTTACTTTTAGGATGCATTGGGTCTTGGATCCCGGTCAACCATGTACCCAGTGCATTGGGTCCGGGTCGGTAGGGGTGGCAATGGGTCGGGTTATATTTAAATATATTTTATATATTGAGATCCGAAAAATATCATTAGATTTGGACTTGGACGTGTATCTCACTGGATCAAATCAAACTGCTATCTAGACTCGAATAATGTTTGGGTCCAAGATTTAGACCCAGACACGACCGTTGAGTCCAATATTTTTACCTATACCCAGACTTGGATCAAGTCTATTCCTCAGATCTAAGTCGGGTTCCATTACCGCGCTTTACAGGTTGGATAACGACACAACCCAAGGGTTCTTAGATAGACCTAGACACGACCCATACCCAACTTATCAAGTTGAGCAAGGTTTGCTCGTAGATTAAGAGAAGAAAAATTGTTTCATATGGATTGGACCGCATTTCTACAATATGTGGTAGGGAGGTATAAAACATCCATCTTTAAGATGGATGCAAATAGGTGATTCATCTAAAAACAATTGTAACTAACAGTCCAAATATTTTTTTAATATAATTATTATTTTTAGTTTCCAATTATTTTTTTTCTTATTCATGATTACCATGTTAAAGATTATACATTCTCTAAAAATTAAAATCAATTTATATTTAAAAATATATTTATTGTCAAGCTCGCATTTCTAACATATGCGGGCTGGCCATGTAGAAACCATGTATCCTTAAAATAAATCAATTTTATTATTAATAATATATAATAATAGTACAATCCTATAGGGCTGAGTTCCACTCAAACTTGATCCAACTTGATAAGTTCTAGGATGAAATCCGACCGAAACCCAACCCAAACCCGATCTAGGTCCAAATGTGAACCTAGGCCTTGTCTACTCATTGGATCCACAAGTTAACTCATCCTAATTGCTACCGGCTTAACCTAGGTCAATTAGCTGGGTCGACCCGGCTCAATTGACGACCAGCCCAGCATTGACATCGAGCTTAGGATTTGATTATGGGTCAAGGCCCATCACAAGATTTTTTTAGTTTGGCCCAACCCATACCCGTAATCCTATAGATTGCTACCAAAAGGCATGGTCGCAATTCATGTGTTTACGTTATAGTAAATGCATTGGAGTGCTTCCAACGTGCGTTTCCGAATTGGTGGCATCATTCTTATCTTTATTGAGTAGTGAGAAGTACAGCTGATTAGCTTTGTATCTAATTATAACAAAAAGGCCCAAAAATATGTTGTATTTATGAGGAAAGACGCTCCCTCATATTTTTTATCTTTTTCAATTATACACCTGCTCTTATTTTTTAAATATAAGACCACTAGTTAATTTTTATTTTTATAATTTTTTGATATTCATAAAGCCATCCGGTATTTAAAAAAATTCAATAGAACAATTTATAAAGCAGTCCGATGTTTCAACTATTAGACAGCTTGTGTTATGCTTTTTTTTTCTTTATGCCCTCTCTTTTCTCTAAGGTTTCTTCATTTCTCTTTCCTACATGCATCGGCGTTTAAGTTGTTTTTGTGTTACGTATGGTGGCAAGTTGTAGAACTAAGGAAAAAGCTTATATAAGGTTGCCTTTTTTTAACGGAGTTGATATAAGGTTGCTTAAAAATGTAGAATTAAATGTGCGCCTCAAAAATCCATCAATAAAATATTGTTTGGATGTTGGAATCTGATCATCTCGTCATCGAGATATATGAATATGAAACAAAAAAAAAAATTCTAGTCCATGAAATAGTGTATCTTGCCACAAATTATATGGACCGTCTATTTTCAAGATCTACATATATTTATAAATCTACTTGATTGGAACAATTTTTAGAGTTTAAAATTTCATAATTAGAGATAAAAATAGATTTTCGAGCTATCCTAATAATTTTTTATATCAAAATTACATTTACGAGAAATTTTAGAAGTGCTCTTTAATTGGATTGTTCAAGGTACCCTATACATGGATTATGTGTTCCTTTCATATATCCATGCAATGTTTGTATTACTGGCATGCATATACTATAATATTAGTCTTGATATAATTGAATGACTTAATGAAATGCCCTTTCCTTGTTGTTTCTCCTATTTGCAAAGGCCTCTATGGTATAGATTCGTCTTTGATTTTTCACCCAAGTTAGTCAAAGGATATGGTCACAAGCATATGCATGTTACGTAAGTTCTGATTTTTCACCGAAGTTAGTCAAAGAATATGGCCACAAGCATATGCATGTTAATGCAAATGCATTCTCTCACATAGTAAAATACATGAGAGAGGAGAACAGGAAAAAGCCCTAACACAGGTAGTATGATGTTTCGATCAACAGATCGTTGTCTGCTCACATTTTATAATGGTACGTGATCCGATGTTTGAAACGTCGGACTACTTGTATTAGAAGCACCCCAAAAATTGTCTTGCAGTCTAATGTTCAAAACATCGGTATGCTCTACAAATTTGGATGATTTAATTTTTTTTGACATCAGACAGCCTCATATATATAAAAAATTAACAAAAATTAAAAATTAACAAGCGGTAGACGTTTGGAAAAAATTAAAAAGTATGAGGGGTCATTCCCCATAAATACTGCATATTTTTAGGCCTTTTTGTGATAACAATAAAATAAAATGGTGCAGCCATAATTTTCCCTTCGTTGTTTCTAAAACAATATATTTTGATTTTTGAGGCGGACGGTCAGCGACTAGCCCAGCCATTGTTGTCAACCATGAACGGCTGAGGAGCATTGTTCCATGGTTTACACAAGACCGCTATGTAGTCGGGTGAATAAGCAGAAAACCCTTTTCTAAACTCTTATGCTTTTTGTACGCAGTGGAGAGAAAGAATAGATATTCTGCTACTACTTTTCATAAATAATATGATTTTATGCTCTCTTTTTTTTTTTTTAACAAATGTTATCAACTATTATTGAAAAATGGAATTACCTGAAAGAAATTACATCATCTGAAACAGAGAGATAAGATAAAGAAACATCCTCTTTAGTCAGATAGTCTGCTAAAGAATTAGTTTCCCTATAGACATGCTAAAACGAGGCTGTCATCCCAACAGCTAGGTCAACAATCTTTAGCCAATTAGATTTCAACTCCTAAGGCACCCTCTGTTCTTTGTTGCACCAACTAATAGAATTCAAAGAATCTCCTTCAATCACACAACAGTTACCCTAGTTTTTATTGCAAAAATCCGCAACCCATGGAAGATTGCAAGAAGTTCAACGCCATTTGCAGTAGCTATTCCTATGGACCCTACATATGTGAAAATAATCAAGCCATTCCAGTCTCAAACTGCACCTCCTACACCTGTCAAACCTGGGTTTCCAAACGAACTACCATCAAAATTCAGCTTTGATAAACCTTATGACGGTGGGGTCCAAACACCTATATGCCAAATCCAAGCAACTCCTAGTGACATTAAGTTTTGAAGGTTAATCATCGCATCTACCTCAAAAATACCCCATCCCTCTTTTGTAGCAGAAAAACCAACGCCACACCATGTGTTTTATTTTATTCAGGACACCTTCAAAGGTTAGATGATCTCCTCTAAAAGTTGTATGATTTCGTTCTTTCCAAATCTCTTGCATTATCACCTCTTGTGATCTTCCAAATGGAATTACCAATCTTTGGTAAGTCTGTTATAGAGAGTTGTGTGATTATATTCAGCACTGATTGAGTTAAAGGCGAACTGATTCCAAATAGGGAAAACAACCACCACTAAATATTATTTGCAAAATGACAATGTAAGAATAAGTGTTCCTCAGATTCTGCACCTTCTTTGCACATTAAAGCAAACATTTGGTAAGATTTTACCTCTTTTAATCGAGTTATCAATTGTGAGAATCTTTTCCTGAGTAACTAGTCCTATGAAAGCTTGCACTTATGAGGAATACGCCATTTTCAGATATGGAAGACTTGAGGCAAAGTCTATCGCCAACGATCATGGAAGAGAAGTCTATAGCAAGACTTAACCGAAAAGTTTCCATCACTTTCCACCTCCCAAATTACCTCATCTTCCAAATTAAAAGGAATATAAACTTTGTTCAGAATTTCTAACAATGAGCTAAGTTGCTGAATCAATACATCGCGGAGCCGATTGTAAAGGGAGCCAATATTCGAATAACAGAGTTACCAACACCTTCAAAGACTTCAGATACCTTCACATTCTAGTTTATCACATTCTCAAATATATTCGGGAACACCAACTTTAAAGGACAATTTCCAACCTAGTTTTTATGCCAAAAGGAAATTTGATTACCATTACCAATGAGCCATCTAAAATTCCTAGCAATACGAGGTTTGCTAAAGGTAATAGGCTTCCAAAAGACATAAACATCGCTCCCTTGACCA